TGTTGTGGGGGGTGGGGTGGGGTGGAAGTGGGTGGATGTGCATGCACACACCTGCACAGCACATACATATGTATGTATTTCTTTTACTTATAAATATATTCATAAATATTTTTTTAAATAAGGGAAAACTTGAAACTGAATTCCTATTGCACTTGTGGAAGTACTGAAATTGGAAGTTTGGGGGTTGGCATTTTTGGCCTCAACTTGTAGTTTCTGTTTATCAGGTGGATGGCATGGATGTCCTCTGTGTTCGAGAAGCAACAAAGTTTGCAGTTGAGTACTGTAGAGCTGGAAAAGTAAGTCTGTAGTCATCATTCCTTTTCCATAGGTGAAATGCTTAGGAGATTATTGCTGCATAAAAAATTCTGCATCTAGCCCGTTTTCTCCAGTCACTGTTGAAGATTTATTTGATCTTTACTTCCTTTTTTCTCCACAGTACTGAACCTGTAAGCAATTGAGTGGTTCTTTAATTTTCTTAGAATTTATTAACATGCAATTGGTATTAACCAAGCATTTTAAAAAATGCATATATCCTGATACTCTGTCATCCTTTTTCCCCCGTTCTGTTGTGAAAGGTGTTCCGACTCTCAGGCAGTTGTGTTCTTTGTGAAGACAGTCATTAGGGAAGCATCAAAGAAAATAGTAATGTTTCTGTATTTACAACAAGTGGAAAGTGAAGTAAAAGGTTTGTGTCAGCATTAATGTCTGTCACCCAACCATGGTACACTGGTTCTGAAGATGTTTAATATTTGGTGAAATAATGTTTGTGCTGAGAAGGTACAACAGAAAAAGGTTCATGCAGAAGAATAAGGTTCTGTGAGTTACAATCTTACAGTGAAACAACAGGCAACTTGGAATAGTGTGAGTAATGATGGAATGACATTGGAAGGGAAAAAATTGTTTAATGCTGCTCAATAAGAACATGGCAATAAATGCTTGCAATATCAACATATGCTTTCATTTGAAAAGAGTCAAGTTTCATTTTACTAGTTATGATAACGTTATGTAAATTAAACTGAGAAAAACCATTGAATTAAAATCATTCATCACTGGTGCAATTCGTCTATAGCAAATACTTACTGCTATAACAAGAAATTTTACTCAAGGTGGTAATGCTCTTTGTGTATTTTTTTTTTTTTTTCTTTTAAAGGGTCCTATTCTGATGGAGCTACAGACATACCGTTACCATGGCCACAGTATGAGTGACCCTGGAATAAGGTACTGTGACATTCTTTCTTGGCATTCACTGAAAACAAGTCAGTCTTGATGGGTGGAATGCTGAAACTGTTGTGGATTCAATGTTTACATCCATTGTGAAGCACATATAAAGATTATGATGAAATTGCTATGAGCAGTCTGATCACTCATCTCATTGCTCACTTGACAATCTGTGGCCATGTAATGTACTTGTTTTACTTGCAGTATTAAGAGATTTAGAACAAGCACAAAGTCAGTTAAACTTCTGTGCTTGCTATTAATGAATTCTGCTTTTGGTGTGACTTTATGGTGTGTTGTAATTAAGCTTTGACTGAAAAGCAGTGTGCTTTTCCAGGGTTTTTAGAGTATTCAAAATCCTGTAAGCTAAAATTATAGGAACAGTTTGAACTGTCCGGTCAAGTAGAACACTTCTTAAAAAATACAAATATACAGGTGCCAAAAAGACTCAGGCATTACACCAACTGACAAATCTGAATTTATCTACATGAAGTAGGGTGTGTATCCCAATGCTTCGTTGGAAACTTGTAGTGAATTGGAAGCACGCAGCAAGTTATTTAGCCCCCCCATCCCCCCCTTAGGGGAGGATAGGAAGGAGGAAATATGGCCCCTGTAGTAACTGTCTCAGGCTGGGATTGCTCCCCTTTCCCTGCCTATCTGCCTACCTTATGCTCGAGTCTGGAGCTACGTCAGCTCTGTTGCTGCTTACGGATCTAAGTGTTCTAGATGTAGCTCTGCTGCCCTTTGAGTGATGAATGTCGCTGTATTTTCGTTGCATTCCTGACGTTCTTTAGTCACACCTTTTTCTGAAAGTGAGCTGTGCCCAGAACCTCACCTCTAATTGACGATACCACTGAAGAAGTTCGTGTCTCTGCTTGTCTTGCTCCTAGCTATCGTACTAGAGAAGAAATTCAAGAAGTGAGAAGCAAAAGTGATCCTATTACTTTGCTGAAGGACAGAATGGTCAACAATAACCTCGCTAGCATCGAAGAGTTAAAGGTATGGCTTTTAGTTGCTATTTAAGCAAGCTCTTGAGCATTCACACCCTAATGATCTCTGAAAAGCACATCATAGGGCAGCTTGCATCACTTGTTCTTTGAAGTACTGGAAGTCTCTGAAAGGGAAAGCAGCAACAGAGAAGAATCCTAGTGAAGGAGCCAGGAAGCCTCTAAGGAAATGTACTTTCATCAACTCTGTTTTAAAAAGAAGTTGACACTGACACTCTCAGTGTTTTGCAGAATCAGAATTGGAAATGTAGAGGCTCAGTGGGGTCATGTTCCTCTGGCAGTAAGTTACCTGCACTATCCAAACAGGACAAATCTGCAGTTTAGTAGGAAGGAAGTTTTCACAGGTTTTTAATTTATGTTTATAGACAGTGTTAACACTAATTCTGACCAATACTTAATCACTGTGTTTAAATTCAAAGTTATGCTGCTTTTTCTGAGCTGTCTTCTGATAAGCATCCATTTTTGGTTTAGGAAATTGATGTGGCAGTAAGGAAGGAGATTGAGGAAGCTGCTCAGTTTGCTACCACTGACCCAGAGCCACCATTGGAAGAATTAGGTAACCACATCTACTTCAATGAGCCACCCTTTGAAGTGCGTGGCCCAAACCAGTGGATAAGGTACAAGTCTGTCAGCTAAAGGCCTTTTTGTTGGCATAACTTATTCTTATGAATAAGTGAATGTATTTACAGGAATTATAATGACTCAGAAACAAACTTTAAGCTTATTTAAAAGCTCTTTCAAAAGAGGAAATGTGTAGGGA